TATATTTTCACAAAGATACATGATGTTATAATTCTACACATAACTGCACTTATATCGTATACCCACAGCGCCGTCTTACTAAATTGTAATTTAGCAATACAGCAATTAAATACTGGCTTTGCGCCCAAATTATTTATTCAAGTTTCTAGTTTATAGCGTTGAATGTATTTGGATATTCTAACAGTGGAATACAAATTATAAATAAATGTCTGGATTCTCGTAGTCYAAAACGATGTTATTCGTGCTATTATGGATTATACGAGTATTTACTAATAAGTATATAGTTCAATAAAAACATTATTTTATTTTTCATAAATACATATGCAATGGCATGACACATAGAATTCTGTAACTGAATAAAAAAAGAGAGAGGCACTATATGGTTAATATAAATTCAATTATTCACATATAACGCACTATCTTGGTTAAACTAATTTTTCCAAAAAAAAAAACAATATTATATTTAATTACATAATAATCGTAATTCACTTTTAATTTATAAATCCACATCGACGTATCAAAGAACAGTGTAAGTTAAGTTAAATTTTGACTGCATAATGTGCATGGTAAATAAAAATAACATAACATATTATTTTTTTTTTTTTTTTTTGAACGGACTGCTACAAAATAATAAAAATTGTAATTATTGTTCAAATATTTAATGTTTCAATATTTTAACTTAAAACAAAAYCAAGAGAAAAATCATTTTTATGATTTTTATGTTAGCTTACTTATTAGGTAGTTACTTTGTAATAAAATTATAAATCCTTAGCATTATAATTTATAACTTCTTTTACATTTATAGCAACAAAAGAAAATTGTTGGTATATTGACATATGCATTAAAATTAGAATTAGAACGCTAGGTTGTATTCAATTATTTATTTTATTTTTTATATGGCAATACAAAAAGTATTGGTATTTATGAAAAAAAAAATTCAACGATTTAAAATGTCTAAAAATGATAATTTAAATTTTACACTAAAATCTAATCAAAAGCTCCGAAAAATTACTTTATAGTATTATTTTTTTTTTATTGGTCTTGAAATTTCCGCTTCGACAACTATGGGCCATTAGCGTTGGATTAATTTATATAATTAGAGAGAAAAAAAAAAAATTTTAATTTTAATATACAAAATAAATATGATGTAAATTTTTGGACATTTTGTGTCTTATAATTATGTACATGTCAAAATTGTTGTTGTTAACTTATAATAACTTTAATATTTGAGATTGTTTATAGTATTATTATAAATTATTATAATTGTTAATTATAAAAAAATGATACGTTATTCAAAGTTCTACAAACGGTTTGGACAATAGGGCAATTAACTATAGTGGAACATACAGATAGAATAATGCATAAATGTATTTTATAATATGATATGTAAATATTATGTAATCAGCTAAACACATATATTATATAATTACATTTAGCATAAATAAATAAATGAATAAATATATATATATATATATATATATATATACTATCATATTCAAACAAAAATCAGATTATTTTATACATGAAATTTGAATTTAAATTTAACTACGTATATATATATTTATATATTATATATACTATATTTTACACCAAGATGTATGTTTATATTATCAGCGTGAAATATTTATGTGGTTAAATAAGTTTTTGTTTAAAAACAAGTTCCATATTACAACATTATTTTTTTACATACATAATTTATCATTCTAAGTTTCGTTAAAATGATTTCCAAAATAAAGTTATAAATAAAATCTATAATATATAATTCAATCATTAAATTATATATAATTACCTATATCGCTTTATTTATATAATTTTTATTATGTTTCATCTGCATTATTTCGATGGTTTTCAAGTTCGTTTTCATCATACTCACGATGTAGTAAATTATCAAAATAAAGCCGTTGCAGAAATTTTGAACGTTGTTTAACTTTTTTTTTTAGCATTGTTTCATTTTTCAGTTTTTCTTGTTCTTGTAGTCGTTTAATTTCTTCTTGTTTCTTTAACAAATAGTCTTGATATTGTTTTTGTCGTTTTGATTGACGACTTTGGAAAAAGTCTTGCAGTGCTTGAATATTCCAATTTTGGTGATTATTTAGATAATTATCCCGTGTTACAACTTGTGTATTCACATAAGATCTCAAATCTGTTTTACGATCTTTATTATTAATATTAACTACTTGTGGTAGTTGCAATAACCTACTTCCTTGATATTGTGTATTCCATTGAACTTCCGGCTTCTTATGAACACTGTCAACATTGTCTTGTAAGGTCTGAAATACTATATACATATCAAAATTAATTTTATGGGGTACTCTTAAAACGCGGTAAAAATAAAAATATAATGATTTTTAGATTTTTATTTTTTAAACATTTCGATATTTTTATTCATTAGTGATATATTGAAATTATCGTTGTGTTGTTTATTTGTATAACCTATATGTTACAGGCTAAAGTCCTTTAATTTTTAGGCTATTCAAATAATAATATAATAAGGGTGGTAATTGAATATGTTTACAAATATAATTATAAAATATAATTTCCTTACGTTTTCAAATTTCAATAAAATTTAGTTAATATTAAAAAGTTTATTGAACAAATTACAATTATTTCCTTTGAATATTAAAAAAAAAAAAAAAAAATGAAAATGTTTATTCAATGATTTTTACTTTTGGTTTATTGATTAATATAAATAATTTTAAAGTGAAAATTAAATGGCCACATACGTATAGTTAAATTGTAAAAATGTTAAATAGTATTACAAATTTTCTAAAAAATAGATCATTTCAAGTCAAAACATCAAATCAAATTTCTGAAAATTCACTCAAGAAAATGTCATGCCGCAAGGTTCCGTACTATCTGTCGCACTATTTCTAGTGGTAATTAACAAAATTGGCAAACACTGTAAATTTCCAATAAAAGCCAATATATTTTCTGATGATGCTAACTTYTCTTGTAGAAGAAAAAATAAAATAATAGTACAAAATCACTTACAAGAAATAATAAGTTATTTAGAAAAATGTTCAGCAAAACTAGATTCAGTTTCTCAATTGAAAAATAAAACTGCATTCTAGAAAACCAAATGTAGGTGAACTTAACATTAAATTAAACAACATAAACATAATTAACAAAAAAMACATAMAAATATTAGGTTATATTCGATTCCAGGCTCACATGATCGCCACACATAAAATCCCTAAAGATAGCTACTAACAAAGTAGGTACTCAGAATACTAAAACTACTGTCACATACGTCTTGGGGTAGTGAATCAGAAACACTAATTAAAATATTCAAATCAATAATCCAAGCAAAATTACAATATGGCTCAATTATTTATAATACAGCAAACAATTCATTAAAAAGATACATAGACTCAAATCACAACACAGGAATGCGAATGGCTACARGGGCCTTTAAAAGTAGCYCAATCAAAAGCATCTTCAACATAGCGGGGGAACCAACACTGGATCTAAAAATAACTRGCACTTCTATATGCAGCGAGATTATCCAGATTAACAAATAACCCAGCATCAGAGAACAAAATAATAACACTAGAACTTCAAAATAATGAAGATTACTCCAAAATACCTCAAATAATAAAAAAATAAAAAATAATGAGTCCACCGTGGASAAGMACATACAGCATAAACACAGATCTAAACTYACTGCCAAAGGAACACACATCACCATCCACCAAACATATACAAAAATGCTCTAAATAGTACTATTGAACATCTAAATGAATTCCATAAAATATTTACTGATGCCTCAAAAAATGATGAAGGGGTAGGAATAGCCTTAGTAAAAGAAAATCTACAAACATCATTCAAATTACCTCCGACATGTTATATTTATACAGCCGAAGCAGTAGTCATACTGCTATGCTGGCCATTAAGTTCATTAAAGAAAATGAAAATGAAAAATATATTATTCTAAGTGACTCGTTAAGCTTCCAATTTAGTGTAAAAAACAAATTTAATCCTAGTAACATAGCAATATAAATTCAAAACAGATTAGAGGAAGCAAAAAAAAAAAGAAACAATACTATTATAATTCTTATATGGATACCTGGACATATAGGAATAAATGGCAATGAAAGGGCAGATAAACAAGCCAAACTTGCTATCCGCTCAAATGACGCACAATTCATAAACATTTTCCAGTACACAGACGTGAGAATACAAATTAGACAAAACACAATCTCCATTTGACAAAACATATGGAACATCCAAACAAATCATATYAAATTAAAAAAATAATAAAAAAATGAAAAAGAAACCCAAACATTAGTATCACAAATKAAAAAAAACTGAATTGAGCTAAAATTGGACACTCAAAATTGACTCACGGATATTTTATGGCAATAAACGAACCACCAATATGCCAAATATGTGGTAGCACACTCATAATTAAACAAATTTTTGAAGAATGCAGAATATACCAAATACAAAGAAAAGAACTAAACATAAGCCACGACATCGGAATAAGTCTAGGTCCAAAACCTTAAAATGAATCCAACACAATTTTATTTAATTTTTCAAAACAATAAAAATAATAAACCTACTTTAAATCACAACTAAAATATTGTAAAATTATTTAAATTATATATCATATTTATTATTATATAATTGTATCTTACTAAAGATTTAACACTAGTGGCCCGTRTTGTCGAAGCGGAAATTTATTTGTGTRAATTTCAAGATCAATAAAAAAAAATTTAAAAAAATTGTAAAAATGACAAAATAAGTTATAATTTTATGTTGATGAATAATGTTGAATATTTAAAAAGTGCGATTAATACTTTATACAATTTTACTAATTTAAGTATTTTATTCATTTTAATGACACAACTAACAGTTTGACTAAAATAATAGTAAAATAGATTTTATGCGCTCATATTCAGCAGTTTAATTTTCATTTGAAAATAATAGTTTTAAATATTTCCAAAAAGAAAAACAAGCACGACTTCTTAAAGATGCATTTGAGATTCTTAGTTTTTTTTCTCCATATTAAAAAAATCTAAGAGGTTCATCACATTTTGACGCRAAAAAGTTTTATCGGAAAATGGACGAAAACGAAAATATTAGCTGTGTAATAAAATATGTAATTAACAAAAATTTACCAGTCACTATTTTTTAAATCAAGATTGCTAGGTTTTCGTGGTTACATAGACGGCTGTAATTAGTATTACTACTATTAATTTAGCCACGTAAGATACTAGGATATACCCATATCCTAAGTATTCATTAACAACTCAGCCACGAMCATTGGCGGTAAATCTTGAACAGCCGTGTCGACGTTCCAACGGAATAATGTATCGCCAACGAAATTTTACGATATATTACGTAATTCTCCAACCATCGTCAGATAATAAATTGGGTGTGCCCAATGTTAAATTATGTCTACGGAAATCGGACATACTTGATTTTCGATGTATTTACACGAATAAATCTTCTATATACTTGACTAATGCGTTTCATTTTACTTGATAGAGTACGCAGATGTTGTAAATGCCTWTATAAATAAATATTGCCACAGCAACAACCTGCCCCCTTTTTTCCTAAAGATTTAACGATTAAAAAAAATCTCGTTCGTTATTTCTAAAATAACAAAATTAATACTGTTTTGAAAGTTTAAATTTATTGCATATTTATTTMTTTTTTTCCATTATATTTATCTTTATCTAGATTACTTTTTGTGATTTGTTCTCAGGACTTCTAACAGCAAAAACATTAAACATTCAATTCAATACAATTTTATTGTTCAGTTATATTATAGTATGGACAAAAAATATCTGTTAACTTTTTAAAAATATATTATGAATTGAAATATTTTTTTCAAGAATATTTTCGAAGTATAGTACTAAGTATTAGAAAAATAATGTTATTATTTTTGTTTTAATTTCCAAAATATTTATTTAAAGTTATTAGTGGAAAACGGAAATCATTCTCAAACATCARGKTAACGAAGATAGGTAAATATATATTATTACGGCTTGAAACACACAGCATTAATTATATCAGTTATATCTGATAGAACATATTCTTCATCTATTATTGTATTTTTACCTTAATTTATTTTATTAAATTAAAGAGGTMAATTTTTACCTATAGGAATTAATAATTAATATACATACGAGTAATAATCTTATATCAATCCTCACACCCTCTTAAACGCAATTGGCCTAGAACCTTTTTGCACATTTGCACTAACAATTATTAATTCATGAATATGTATAGAACACAATATCATAATGAACATCTAATTGTATTGTGTTATCCTAGTTTTTTATACTTATTACGCATTCACAGCTATGATATCYTTGATACCGTATCTAAGTATGCGTKTGTTAATAAAAAAAATTAAATTTATTCTTAAATTGAAAACTTACCGAATGATTACTAAATGCCCTATATTAGGATAATCATCCAATTCAATTTGCATAATATTTATATAGGTACAGTAGGAAGAACAGATAGTCGCTAGTATAAAAGCTATAATGAGCTACATGACAAGTTTTTAAAACAATCTTTTAATCGAAAAATTAGTTACAGAAATAAGAACTATATGTTAAAATTCATTCTACCATATTTAATTCACTATTATGTACCGTGATCTTAATAATAATAACATATGTATATTACTCTTCTACGTTGGAAGTTTCACTCATATAAATTATTATTGTTTCAGTCGTAGTTTAAATTAAACATTACTCTGATCATTCATCACATACGCTTATCGTAAATGCTGATATTGTATAAATTGGGTATGTTTTTCAAATATAAATAATATCAATAATGCACGTTTAAGTTTAGAGTTTAAAGTTGTGTCTTTGGAAATGCAAAGGTATTACTAACTTATAACTAAATTACTTTTRCATATATTGTACATATTAAAAAAAAAATTAATAAAGGAGTATATAAAATCAATATATTATACTTAATTCCTACACGTATACCTAGGTATTGTTAAAATTAACATAAATGTTTAATTAGCATTATTTGGCAATATTCTTGAGAAAATTAAAATAAATCATCGGCAGTTTTAGTAACACTGATTTATAATAATAAAAATAAAACAATATTGCATTTAGTTTTAGTTACCTAATACAATTAATCAAAATATTTTAATATTTTGATTTTGATTGAACCTTTACCCTATTTAATCATAACAAATATATTTTTCGTATAGCCTAAATACTGAAATTATCAAGAATTTTTATACAACTAGTAAAAAAAAAAAACAAAAACTATTTATAAAGGTTTCTAACAATAAAATTACAGAGTTTAATTGGAAATTTTATCCTGAATTCGAGAATATAATTATTTTAATACTAAAACTATTTTACCATTGTTTCTTGGAATTGGATGATAGTATGGAAAAGATGGCATTCCAAAATACATATTGGCTGAATAACTGAAAAAAAAACTTGGTATATATTTTTAAAATTATTAAACTTAACACTTACACAATATCATGGGAAATTAAGCCGATTAATAACATATACTTCGAAATCATCTCCTCTGTGAGTAAAATAATTGTTTACTAATTTTTAATGTCGTTTTTTAATAAATATTTATTAGACATGTATACATAAAGAATTATTGTTAGCATTATTTTACATAAAATATCATATAACTCAAGTGCGTTAATATAATAATCAAGCCTACAAGTGTTAAAAATTGCTAGCGACACACTAACCAATATGTTTTATTCATATTCCACAACATGTTGCGTTTAGTTAAATAATTATATATAACTATAATTATACYTATTTTTMGGATAGGAATAGTATTACGTTATTTATTTTTATACTTTATTTTTCGTAATTTTAATGGATATTAATTTTTSGTACGCATGAAACATAATAATTAACATATTTGATAGAACAATAGTATTACGGTAATGACTTAAGCGTAATGAGTACCTAATAAGTAATATCTAATGTCTTATTGTAACTTTTAGCTGTTAAATTGAATTTGGATTTATATAATATCTGTATTTAAAAATATCAGTTTATTCAATTTTATAGTGATGTATAAAGTTGTATGCTTAATAATTAGGTTTGATGTACGTTTCAAAAACTTTAACAGTAACTTAATGGGCCTAATAAATTCTGTAAATAACCTATATTTTATTATGTTTTAATAATAATTGATTACTTTGTTAATAGTAAACTTAGGCTAATTTTTTTTTTATTATTTATAAAGTTTTCTTGATAAAGTCATCTAAACTTTAGGTATAATGTACAAACGCAAATTTTTTACGGCAAATTAAATCATAAATTTATGGATGGTAATGAATGTATCATGATAGGTATATTTCGAAACTAATGAACTAATAATATTTCAGTTAATCAAATAAACGTATTGCCAGTATTTATATTAGTGTACCAGTTATTTATACATTTCAAAATAATTTATAAAAATAATTTCCAGTAATTTATACTTACATAGATTAACATTAATTTAAATACTGTATAACATATTGATTACTGATAAACAAATAAGTAATAACAATTTATGTTGTTATATAGAATTTCATTTTTGTTTCAAAAAAATAATGATTGAATTAATTTTTTTTTTATATTAATGAAGTTTAGACTATGTGATAAACATGTATTAATTTTTAATTRCCTTCCTCATAACTAAAATACCCCTTCTATTTTGTATATATTAAATCAGAGGTTCTGAATTCTGATACTTTTTATGATACGACCTGTTAGGAAAATGTTCACATTTTAACGACCCATAACCTCCTAATGGCATTTTTGTTGTTTTTTTTTATTGATATCTAATCACTATTCTTGCGATAACTTTTAGTTCAGCAGTGTAATGGTGACATGCCGGTGGCATGTCACGTAATACTGTCATGGATTATGATAAATATGATAAAACTAAATTCAAACATCAATGTACAGTGTACACATTCTATAAGATTTAGTTACATAGAAAATATTTTATCATATATTTATCCATATTTTAATATATTATCTTTTATTTATATATTCCCAAATAATCTAATACTAAACATTCAACATTTTTGAAATATATAGATATTCCAAAACTTGAAGTGTCACACCAAAAATACAAACGCGACACACTTTTAGGTCATGGCCCACAGTTTGGGAACCTCTGTATTAAATACTCTCTTATGTTATGAGTGTACTGCTAAGCAAATAAATATGTCAGAGRTATTTTGATATTGATGATAACATGAATTCGATTAGCCATGTCATTATTAATCCAAAACAGAACGTATTACTTTAACTACCAGTAATATAATCTGCTAAAATATTAATTTTCATAAAAATCATAGTCCTGGATATTAAGCATGGACATATGGCACGTGTTCTACAAAAATACACTAAATTACATGTATTAGGCTTATCAGTCTT